AGAGAGAGAGAGAGTTGCGAATGCGCGCGTACAGAATCGAGGGTGAAACGAAGAGAGACGAAAGATAGGAGGTATAGGAGTGGGTAAAATCGCTGAAGGATACGAGAGATCGGGAGGGGAAAAAAAAATGAAATGAAGAAGAAAGAAGACGCGGGAGACGAAGATATGAGAGAGAGAGAGAGGGAGGGGGGGAGAAGCAGAGGATGGAAGTATGGATGTAAAAGAAGGGTGAGAGAAAAATGTGTGTGTGCGAGCGAGTGTGAGTGAGAGCAAGCGTAAGAGGGAAAGAGAAGAAGAGAGATTAGGTAGGATTTACGAGGACGGCGTATCCCCCCAGAGTGCTGAGCCATAGCTTTTCGGGGTACGGCAAGTTGACGATGACGATAGTTGCGCGAGGGGAGGGTACGACTCTTGTATACTATAGTAATATTTGAATGTATATTTATACGACAGGTTATATTATTCTATTAACTATAATGATGATATTTTGAATCGGTTTTAAAATCAGATTGGTGCTGAACGTAACACTAGGTAAGCGACACAAAGCAAAACAAGAAAAAAAAAAAACGAAAGAGGAGGGAACGTGGAAGAAGGCTGAGACACCGTAGAGTAGCGTAAGTAGGGTAGTCGATAGAGTAGAGCTCGAAAGGGGAGTAAGCCGTGGGTAAAAAAAAAAGAGGAAAAAAAAAAGACTTTCGAAGGACCCTCGTGAAGTCCGCTCATCCGGAACTTAATAATAATAATATTAATAATAATACTAATAATAATAATAGTAATAATAATAATTATAATTATAATAATTACGCAATTATCATCACATCAACCGGTGAACAGAAACAAAAATGAAAGGAGAAGAAGAAGAAGAAGAAGAAGAAGAAGAAGAAGAAGAAGAAGAAGAAGAAGAAGAAGAAGAAGAAAAAGATTGAAGCAAAACAAGAATAAATGTTTCGTGGCAATACTTAAAAATGCGATACGAAAATGGGGAAAGAAATACATAACACGAACACAAAAGAACACACACAAAATATTGAAAAAAATTTCAACGTACTAGAGAATAGTCTTTTAAATTTCTATATTAAGACGTGTGATCTCTCTAATTATTGTACATTATATATATATTATATATATTATATATATATATATATATATTATAATGATCTATACCTATATAGATGACGAGATGCATAAGTATATGATTACGATTATACGTATATTAGGCGTTCTACAGTTAGTCTTTTATCATTTAGACACAGAGATGATCTGAAGATGAATAATTGTGCGGCCATATTCTCTGTGGCCTGTTTGTAGTGCCTCGGAATTGCTGCTCGCGGCAGTGATTTGACCGTATTTTAGGATGGTATATTAATAATTATATTGAAAAACTGCAATTATCGATACTCTGATACAGTACTAAAGGCGGGAAAGGAGAAGAAGAAAAAGAAAAAGAGTGGAAAGAGGAGGAAGAAAAAGAGAGGAGAAGAAGAGTGGGAGAAGAAAAAGTGGAAAAACAAGGAAGTTTAAAAGGAAAAGAAACGAAAGATGTGAGAATGAATGAATGAAGTGATCGTGTCGTCAGGCGTCACGTTAATCGACTCATTAAATTATTAGAGATCTACTTATATCGCGTTTATAAAAATAGGTTAGCGAAAAAAGAAAAAAGCAAAAAGAAAAAAACGTGCAGAAACCGCGGTGTAGAAACGACGACGATGTGATCGTTCGCTGATAATCATTTTTAACGTTGTGTTTTCTTTTTTTTTTTTTTTTTTTTTATTAATATTATTATTATTATTATCCTCGTTGTTCACTTTTTTCATATTTTCTTATTCGTTGCAAGACGCGTAAAAAAGAAAAAAAAGAAAAAAAAAAAAAAAAGAAGAAAAAAATCAAAACGAAGGAGCAGGTTCTTCAAAAAAAGAAGAGGAATTCTCAATGATTCACGAGTATTATAATTGTTACGATATATATTTCGCGGGGCGATCTTTCGTGTTATATCCCGATCTTTTTTAGATCCGCTCGTCTCTCTCTCCTTGTACGATTTTAGCGACACTACTCGTTTATACTCGTTTCGCGATCCGGATCACTGATTTCCCGGGTGGTTAAATTCGATATAAAATCGTGTCGATCGCCGACATTCTTATGCCTTCTCGAAAATCTTATTAAACTTTATACAGATCGTTTCAAAGTTCTGGGATATCTTACGATCGTAACTGATCGACCATCATTTAAACGGAAACAAGTAATAATCGAGAAAACTATCGAACCACTGCAAAACCTGTTTCTCTTTTTCCTATTTTTATTTTGTGCTTTTTTTTTGGGTTGGCCATTAATATATATATATATGTGTGTGTGTGTGTATGTGTGTGTATATATGTATATACATACATGCAGATATATATATATATATATATATATATTATTTTTTTTTTCGGTTAAATTTTCACTCGTCGAAAAATACGTGCCGCGCGTGAAAACAATAATTCAATCTTTCCGTTCCGCGACAGAACGACAGGGCGATTTCGCGTGGACGCGCGAAATATTATTCGCCAGTGAAATAATAATTGGTTTATTAGATGTTTACCGATCGACGAATAAAATGTGGCCACGCTCCATCGAAAGAAAAATCGTTCATTGAATTACGATCATTAAACGATCGTGTCGGCCATCTTAATTAACGTCGTTCCAATATTTCTTTTCAGGTTTTCGTTTCGTATAGCCCGAAATTTGATCTTTTTTATTATTATATCGTTCCTTACACGAATCAGAAGCTTGCACGCGACGCGATTCGATCATCGTTGGATTATTAAGTTTCGCATAAAAACTCGATCGAATTCTTTAGACTTGATCCTTGTTTTTTAAACCTTTCTTTTTTTTTTTTTTTGTAAGTCACTTTTCGCGTATCATTTTTTTTCCCGCGTCTAAAAAGAGTAAAATGATAAAAAAGTTGTTCATGCGAAAT